TGTATTAAACTATAAACTGCACTGCATCTATATACATTTACAACTAAAAATATTTATTGAATAAACAAGTGACATAACGTCTAACATTATTTGTCACGCAACTACCTGAGATATTCTTGTTATCTTATTATCTAAAAATTAATTGTAACCGCAGTCCAGAGTGTTACTTGATTAGCATTTTACAACAACAACATTTTCATGACATTTTCAGTGCAACATTGCTGTGAATTATCTCACAAGTGCACATTTGTACAAACCAAATTAAGGAATTTTTTAAAGGAACAAACTAAAGAAAGCATAAAGAATTCATGAACAGCGGAAAGATTAAAACTAAATGAAACTGTGGCCACCTTATTAACGGAGCTATTGGCTATTTTGACCGGTTGGAATGCTCTGAGAAGCAACCGTGGTTTAATACTCCTAAATGTTAAGCATATAAAAATTCATTAAAGGTCTCTTCACATGTAGTTTGTGCTGCAATGTATATTATTGACTGCATGAAGTATTTATGCTTTTTTTTTTAATTTATGTAAGTATTTATGCCCAAAAACTATTTATGTGTGGACATATGTATTTCTAAGTCTAATAAAACATATCTATTTAGTCAGACATTATTAAAAAAAATGAATTCCTTTGCAGTCATTTTTTATACTTCTTTTTTTATTTTAGCATTTTCTATTCTTTTTAATTCTCATTTTTTTTAATCGTGATTTTACAGTTTTATTGTTGAAGCTAAAGGTTAAAAAGACACCCAGTAAGGTTTTATAAACATTTGTCTTTCTAATTCATTTTGGACGGTATATCAGGTCAGTAGACAAAAAAGAAACTGCAAAATGTGTTCATACCAGTGACGGTAAGCCGAGTTCCAGATCCAAATACTTTGTAGTCATCGTATCCACTTCACACTGTTATTCAGACTACATCAAATACTTCTAAACAACTAGACATCTAAACAAACTTTTTTAAAATTTGTGTACCTTATGGTTAATGTTATGGTTAGATGACTTTGCTCTTTTTTACTCTTGTTACCTTACTTTGTAAAGTTTGTCTTGCCTTAATTCATTTTGGACATTTTTTTTATGTCAGTGAACAAAAACACAAAAACAAAACTGCAAAATGCACTCATAGTGGTGACGATAAGCCGAGTTCCAGATCCAATTACTTTGTAGCTGTAGTAAGTGTTTCTTACAGTCTACATCAAATGCCTACTTCTAAATAAATTATTAATCTATATTCTGAGAGGAGATACTAGTTTTGTTAGCTACTTAGAAATATTGAAGACAAGTAATCGTTTTGTTACCTTACTTTATAAAGCTTGTCTTGCCTTAATTCATTCTGGACATTTTATCAGGTCAGTGAACAAAAAAAAAAAAAAAAA